GTCAAGTTAGTGGTTTGTGTAGGGAATGGGAGACCTGTAGCAAAGGGTCCCAGAACTGTGGATAAATTGCCAGTATTTGAGACAGACAGGTTAAAATCTATGGGGATGGGAATTGGAGGGAATGAGTGGGGGTAAACAGATATAACCATAGATATTGACAGGGAGATAGAAGCAGGTGGTATTAAATAGGTGTTGTAGTCTTTTTTGAGACTGCATTATCTGATTTACCACTTGGAGATCTATCCCTTTATAGGGAGGTGGAGTGACGGACCTCAAAAGTCTATCACTGTTTATTAAATGTCTCTTTTGTTATTATTTTCTGCTGGGTGTTCAATACCAAATTAAAATAAGACCTGTATTAATCAATATGAACCTCTTACTATCCATCAAGGTCAGTTGGGTCTCTTTAGACATCATCTTGGAACCATGCATAGAGCCTCTCACCACCTCTGTCAGTGTCAGCTGTTAGGATGGGTCACAGCCTTGCTTGACCATGGTGTGTTTAGGGAAAGCGTGGAAGATTTTTGGTGACCCTCCTTTAGCACATGTTATATTTGTCCTCTTGTGTTCAGCAAACTCCCTGTTCAGGAGGTTGGGTGACTTACCAAAGATGTAGGATATTGTAGAAAAGGTTCCTTCATACCTTGGATCTTTGATGACCTTGGAGGGACAGAGCCAAAATATTGGTGATCTTCTTAGCCCAGTTACAGTTTAGTGTTGGTCTGAGCCTTTTGGTGGTTGAACACCCAGAAGAGAAGATCATTGACATCAGTAGTACAGTAGGAGTTTAACTATCATAATTTTATCTAGATAGCAAGTAACGTGGAATTTAAAATTTAGTGAGAGGGCTATTATTTTATCAATCATGGTTAAGTAGTTGATTTTCTGTAGAATATTAACAGAAAAACTTGTAATCAGGAGCCACACATAATGATAATATTTTATCATGACAATCATGATGACATCTTTGTAACAAACTTAGATGTGTATCTTAGTATAAAATAGTCATGGTTAAATGTATTTATCTTTTTAAAATATATAAAAACAAAAACCCAGGAAACTTACTTAAGTTATTACTTTTGGGTAGGATGCCATCTAAGGAAAGTGTATGGGCCTACAAATGTACCTGTAATCATTAGGTGGAGCAGAAGAGAAAGGTGAATACCTGGTTTAAAAGGTGATTGCCATAAATAATATGTTGAAAGACTTGCATGGTCAGACAACATGAATACATTTTGCATAATGGAAAAGTAATAATAATAATTATAATTATATGAAATCTCATGTAATGTAGCTCGGCATCAAAAGGATCCTCTATTTTAAATAACTCCTTGGGGTTTTTTGTACAGAAAATATTATATTTTGAAGACAACCATCACAAAAATATTACAATAACATATTTAGAACTCAACCCTTTGATGATAACCAATGTAAACATTTTATAACAACATATTTAACAAGGCAAATCTTCCCATGAGGAAATGAAAATTATTTGGGCTCCCATTAGTGAATAAAGATCAGAATAAATTTTTCTGAGCAGCTGCTTCTTTATTTACCAACAGGAGTGTACCTAAACATAAAAGTATATATTTAATTATCATTACAATTTTTTATTTAACCTATAAAACCAGGCTGTGGAAATCAACAATCTACTTGTATTTGATGTCATTTTGACCAAAAACATAATTGCACAAACACTTTTAAACATTCAGACACAGACAAACATGTGAGAAAATTTAAACTAGAGTGCCCTCAGATGGTTTTGGCCATTTGAATTATAAAATCTCTTTTAGGTATGACTACTCAAAACTTTTGCAGGTCAAAAGTAACAGAGATCTCTTGTAGAATTAGGATTAAAAGGAATGAAACGTAAACCTTTTACAACAAATTTGAAACCAACTACAAGCAAACATACATATTTTCTTATTAAATCATTTCCACACAACTTCTCAAAGTACTTAGGCCTTCTGGTCTTACATATCTTTCTTTATCTCTTTCTAATAAGACAAACATACACAATCCTTTCATATCAAAAGTATATCCCTTTTACCCATAGCTTTCCTAATATTTTCCTTTGTCTCATTTACTGTTAACCTTCTATGACAAACTTCATTTGTTAAAATCATGATGACTTTTTTTCCTCAGAAAAACTTTTGTTGGTCAATTAACAGAGCTCTCTTGCAATTAGGATGAGGAGTAAAAGCACTTTATAACAGTAGCATAATCTTGTGTTATAATTATTGTCAAAAGTCTGTAAGCAGAAAGTACAGAGAAGGTCAAGTTAATCTATAATTACAGTTTAAGAATTTATAATGTAAAAGAAATGTATAAAACACATCAATTAAACATGTAGAAACCAAACACCATCAGACATTATTTTAAGGTGAAGACAAAAGGTACATTTTTGTCAATTAGCTAGAGGAGGGAATGATAACAAAGTTTTTTCCTTGAGGTGGACGTAGGTTTGGAGGGTGAGAAGACTGAGGATGTTGGAGAGGATCATAAAAATATCATGCCAGGTTAGACTGTAGGACTGGGAATTATCCTAGAACTCTCAAACAAATGAGGCCGAATTGGCTGTGAGAGAATCCAGTCTTTTCTTGATCTGTGAAAGGTCAGACAAAGAAAAGGGAACAGGTGAAGGGGGAATCACAAGATGGCAGTGGGAGAGGGTCAAATTCAGAAGATGGAGGTTTACAAGATGGTGGCAAAGAGGAGGGAGCATGTGGAGGATTAGGATAATAAAATGGAGGCTTGCAAGATGGCGGCAAGGAGGAGGGAGCAAGTGGAGGAAGAGAAAGAGCAATTTGGCTGAAGTCTCTGAAAGTACTAAGGAGGAGACTCAACTGCTGGATCAATCTCTTCAGAGGTGGAGGAGAAACCCAGGGGTTTAGTAGAAAGCAAAACATGAGGAGGCTGACAAGAAGAACAAAGGGAATGTTTAGATCTTACATTGGAAAAGCCCTGAATGTATGGTATCTCACTCCATTTTCCCATGTCCTCAAAGAAGTTGTAAAGATCCCAGATAATTGAGAGATCAAAAAAGTCATTAGGTGGCCATTTACTCTGGCTATCTAATAAATATTGGGGCCAAATTTGAGTAGAAATCCTAATAAGGAGTTTAGGTTTTAGATCAGATCTGAGTCCAAGAGCTATGAGATTTTTGAGTAGACAGCCTAAGGAATGGATTGTGCCGATCCCATGGCAGAGAAAGGAGACTTCTGTTGCTGCTCATTGAAGCGTCCAGGAGTGAGGGACAGAGAGTCACGAGAGTAGAGGTGCTGCTCGGGAGGGTCATCACCATTCAGGAATGGAACGTCAGACCACAGTTGGCTGGGGAGACTTGGAACCTGAGCTCAGGAATTTTTAGTCAGAGGCCACAGCTGGTGGGGAACACACCAAATCTCCTACAGGGGAGAGGCCAGTGCCTCAGGGGACTCTGCCACGGGAGTCAAAATGGAATACTACTCAGCCATAAAGAATGAGAAAGTTGATTCATTCATAGTTAAATGGGTACATTTTGAGGATATACTTCAAGTGAAATAAATAAGGCACACATATGCAAATACCAAATAGTATCTCTGGTGTGAAAAACTAAAATATTACTCAAGATCCTAATGGGACAATTAGCAAATAGGAAGAAAAGAACCAAAGGTGTAGGGGCAGTGAGAAGGATAGGGAAGGGGGGGATAAGGGAAAAGGAAAA